AAGTATTCTTAGAGTTAATCCAATGAACTGTTTACCTTTAGGAATTGATCCTTGATCATATCAAACTTCTGCTTTTCATGCACTGCTCTGGCTGTATTTGTTCCATCAAAAGGTTCTGTAATGTTAAATATACATATAAAAGAGAACTTATTAATATGACTACTTCAGTCTCAGTAAGTTAAACTATAAGAAATTATTTCACAGCTTGACTGGTCTTAATACCCTATTAGATTTATGCATATTGAACACAGTTTAATAGTGATAGGAAATGTTTATTAAGGTGCATAGGATTCAGATTAGCGGATGATTAAAAAGGTAATGTTATGTCTAAATCATAGTTTATTGAACATTATGAAAAAATTAGAAACAGACAACATGTCAAAGGCCTACACTGGTAGAAATAAAAGTAAGTCACAAAATTAATAGTTTTCCAAAAACAAAATATTATAATCAAGAGAGATGGTAAATGCCAAATATCACAGAAAGAAACATAAAGCCCAAGGACAGGAGAAGATCAACACTAACCTCTGCCAGCACAGGTTCAATGCTGGTGAGAATGGAAGAAAATGCAGAATTAAGATATGAGGAATGAATGGATGAGCAATAGTCAGGATGGGAACTTAGATCTGGCAGTGAAAGGGGAAAAACAAAAACTACAAGTAGAGAAGACAAAATGACAACAAAGGGTGTGTGGGGTGTGTGTGGGTGTGTGTGTGTGTGTGTGTCTTTCTCTCTCCAGCTATCTACCTTTCATCTCCCTCCACATGCCGGCCCTACTCACTTCTCCACCCATGGGCTTTCAAAAAGTTCATGGAAAACATAATTAAAATAGAATGAAAAGTTTCCAGGACCTTCATGCAGTGGAAACATACAGAAACAGAGAGAAAAAGGTGAGAGGAAAGAAACAAAGTAAAAGTGAGAAAAGGGGGCTTACTAATGGCATCTGGAGACAGGATGGCAGTAGATACAAATGGTTGGCATTTAAGAAGTTTGGCAATGAAAAGAGAAACAAACAGTACTTAGAAGAGTTAGTGTAGTCAAGGATGGGAAGATCAATGTACCGTCAAAGGCT